ATAATTTAAAGCCTGATTTCAAATTAATTTATGATACCTAGAGGATTCTTTGGCGGATCTATACGCAAGGTTTTGTAGGCCATCGAGTATTTGAAATGAAAACTTCTGGTCTTTCCTTAAATAGAAAAAAATGTGAAATATCTTCCCTCAACAATAAGTATTTTACCCCTCCCCCAGATTTTAAAATCATTTCGCACGAGTAACTATGTCTGTTGGGTTCTCCTATTGGCTCTTCAACTCCCTTTGCCAAAATATTTCGACAATTTGATTCAATCTCTTTTTAATTAACTTAAGAATATTCCTCATCTTCCCAAGCATCAGTTTTTTTTCCTCATCAAAAAATGTTTTTTCCTACCTAAATTCTTACACATCTTTAAATCTTCCCCGGCTTTCCAATATAATTCCCTTCCTTAAGTCCTTCGAATTAAAATTAAAACATTTTATCGAATCCCTTCTAATTCTAAAGTTTTCCGATTTTAATTGGTCATTTGCCTCTATGCCTAATTACTAAGGAGGACTTGAATTTTTATCCCTCATTTTAATAGCAATTGCTTGTTTCCTTTCTTCAGGTATAACCTTTAACGACTTTATTTCCACGCTTATCGAGTTGAAAGATTCCCTTTTTTCGGCCAAACAATCTTGGCTTACTCTAGTTCTCCAAAGATCTGAGCACCCAAAGTCATTTAAAGAGCTTCTAGTTCTCACGCTTCACTGTGCATTTGAAAACTTTGTTTGTGTCCTGATCTAACTAACTTTTCACTACTCAAAAACGCAAAAAAACATTGTCACCCCGTCAACCGCTTTACCCCGGTCTCCTTATAACTTTATTTTTTTTAAAGAAACGTTAAACGGCTAGATTTGAGCCGATTTTTAAAAAAGCTAACTCAATATTTTAGCCAATTTTGATAATGTGTGTCCAAACCTTTGTGTCAACTATACCTAAAATATTCAGGCTTGCGTAATATTGTTCTAGATAAAGAGCTAGCCATTTTTAAAAATCGGCTCTCTAACTATTTAACAACACTAAATAAAAGCATTTATAAACAAATTTTCTATTATATATCATGTAAAAATAATTAAACAATTTAATATATAAAATATTGTCGGTTCTTTTCTCATCCTGAAATACTTATGTCAGTTAGAAATTTTTTTAAAAAATCCTTGTTTTTTATTATTAATTTTTTAATTGTGAATGTGATGTTTAATCACGGATAAAAGAAGAATTGAAAATAAAATTGATTTTTTTTATAGGCCAATGGTCTGGCCAATATATTATTTACGTTATTATGAACTAGGCTAGGGCCGAGAATTGACCCTTTAAAAAAATTTAAAGTTGTTTTTAATTTGAGAGCATGTTTGAAAAAAATTGTAGCAATACACCTTAGAAGATCTTATATCAAGATAGGTATATTATAAAAAATTAGAATTGAGATTCTGCAGTTTTTAAAGTTAGGATGATGTAAAAAGGGATAAAAATGGCTCAATTTCATTCTTACCACAACGTTTTATCCTAAATAAGGGGAGCTGGGGTTAGGTAAACCCCGGGACCTGGCAAAAGACTTAATCTCATTTTAAAATTAAATACAAAGAAGCATTGGCGTACGCAGCGGGGGGAAGGCAGGGGGAAAAATCCCCCCCCCCTCCCCCAAGCCACAAAAATACAGATGTCGGATTATATTTTCCAAAAATATTATTGTTAATATTAATTTATATTTGTTAATATTTATTCCTATCTCATATATATATATATTTAATTACATTTATTTATCACATTCATCTACTAAGTTATTTTATCAATTAATTTCGATTTCAAGTTTTCCTTGGCGTAATTTGCTTATTATTTTCAAATTTTAATGGCATAATATTTATCTAAATTTCTAGTCAAATAATAATTATCTCTGAAACTCGTTGTACAACATGGAGAAAGAAATTGCAAGCTTGTCCAACGAGATCGAGTCTCCATTATCAAGCAGTAACAGCTATTATGGAGTTAGAAGAGCCGATTATTAATGCTATTGCTGAAATATCACAATGGCTTGAAAGAAATATTTCCTCAGAAGTAAGAAAATTATTGGATTCAATACTTATTCCAAATTTTTTTTCTCATTAGAATGTATTATTTAATTATACAACTATTTTATGTAATACTTTTCAAAAACATAACATTGACTTGATTAAGAAGATGAGAATAGCGGAGAGCATTTTATTAGAACTCAAGGAAATTAGAGCTAATGTTGATGAAGAATTTCATATTTTATATGTTATTGTTGAGTCAAAAGCAGAGTTATACATGTTTAATATTTGTCCCCCTCGACTTGCAGCAAGCAAGCTAATCGTCAAAACATTAATATAGGATCAGTAGAAGAGTATTATAAAACAAATGTCCCCTCTCCCAACCTTTTTCATATGGTGATAGAAAAAAAATATAAATATTTGTTAGATTTTTATCATGAAGATGTTAAAATATCTTATGATGCCTTATTAGCTGAATAACTATGATTAAAAGATTAACTATGATTGATACAGTCCCAAAAAATGCTATGGATGCTTTGCATTATTTCAAACACATTTTAGATTACTCCAGTGTATTAAAATGGTTATATATATATTAGTACCTCTTTAGTGAACTAATGAGAGAATATTCTCTTTTTTAAGAAGAATAACAGAGCTTTGCAGAGGTACCATTTGCAGGACACGGCCCAGTTTTTTTTAAAAAAAATTTTCAGGCCCGGCCCGGCTTTTTTGAAAATAAAATTTTCAGGCCCGGCCCGAATTTTTATTAAATATATTATATTTATTTTTGATTCTTATAGCTAATAATGGCGATTTCATATAATTTAGTTTTAAAATATACAGCTCGGCCCGGATATTTTTTCTAAAAAAAATTTCAAGCCCAGCCAGGGTGTTTTTTAAAAATAAATTATGGGCCCGGCCCGGGTATATTTAAAAAAAAATTAAAATACGGTCCGGCACGGGGGCCGGGCCTGCAAGTCTGTGAAAAACATACCTATGAAATACAACATCTGAAAGTAGATTGAATGATTTGGATCTTTTGAATATTCATAGCATTTAACGCCAAGCAAAGATAGATAATTGAAAAATTAGCTCAAAACATGCAAAATACAATTATTCCTAACAAACTTTTTGTGTATTAATTTATATTTATAACATTTAAATTTTTTATACTTTATTGTATTTTAAAGGCTCAAAAAATTTAAATTTCATTTTGGGTCATTTAAGTGATTCATATCGTGGTTATATTCACTTTATATTTTATAATTCACATTTATTTTATAGTTTTTCAATGCCGGTTTATATATATAATTTTTTTAATTCACATTAGTTTAAAATTGTGTATTAGAAAAGTTATTAGTCCTAATAAATTTATGCTTAGTCTTTTTAATTAACAATAATATTTCTTAAAAAATTTTATTATCCCCCCCCCCCCCCCAGACCAAATTTCTGTGTACGCACCTGAATAGAAGGTTAAAATTTAATCATAATATAGTTTTTATTAGTTTACATTTGTAGACAAAAATCTTTTGAAATAATTAATTGTTAAAAATTTTATTCAAGAAATAAAATTTTGATGAAATTTTCAAAAGATTTTGACAGAATTTTAAATTTAATAAAATATATAATCATTTATTTGTAAATTAAATTTTATAGTAAAGTTTAAACACTTTTCTATAATTTGGGAAAGTATGATTATTTATTTTATCTAGATATTATTTCAATCATGATTTGTCAATTTAGAGCTAGCGGGGCTTGCTAAACCATATACGTCAATAATGGAAGTAAAAAAAAATTCAAAATCTTGAAGAGGCAATTTCATGGCTGTTTATGATTGGTATTTAATATGATAAGAAAAACAATAAAGTTATTCTATAAGTATCATTATTAATAAATAAAAATGCATTTCAATTTATTATGGCCTAAAAAACCAATGATTTAGGAAGCCCTTTGAAGTGGTTTGCCTCACCTCGTTATTGGGGCTTGTTGGACAAAATTAATTTAAAAAAAATGATTATATTCTTAAGATTTTTTATAAGACACCTTTATAGAGTATAGTTTTAGGTATCTAATCATATATTATTTTTTATATTATCTAAAAAACCAAGGAGCTATAATCAATTTTGTAAAAATTGGTTCGAATAACCCCAGTCTCACCCTACTGATTTTATTTTATACATGTTTCTTATTATTAATATACTATATCTTTCCTTAATATTTTTTTCGCCAATTATAATATTAAGCTAGTAGAATATATTTGAATATATATATTAGCTTAACAAAATCCAGAGATATTTGTATTATTTTGATAAATTTATTTAGAGCGCCCGTTTGAAATCTTAAATTAAAATATTTTCTTAATTACTTTGTAATAGAGGTCTACATGGGCAGGTAGCCCGCCCGCCCACACTCATCCATTCCCAGGGCAGGTGTAGTCAGGCAAAAAGTTTTAAACATTAAGCGGATGAGGCGGGTTAAAAATAATATTTTAAAAGGCAGGCAACGGGACGGGTGGAATGGATTTTTTGGGGCGAAATAAGCACTTTTCCTGATGTTAACTATATATAAATAACGGTATTTTAGAATTCTAAAAATTTTAAAATGGATTCTAGTTTCTAAAATTTTTAAATATGGTTCATGGTTCCGTTTTCGGTTTCTAAATTTGTCCCAGTTCAGAGAGTTTCATCTTTTGGTTCAAAGCTCTTCCAAAATAAGAGATTTGTTCCTTCCGTTTTTTGTTTTGTTTTTCCAAGCCCCAAAATTATAATATTATATTACTCATATAATAGTTGAAATGACCATAAAGGCCTCTAAAATATTATATATAAAAATAATTCTTTTTCTTTTCGCAGAATTTTTTTTTATCAATAAAATAATATAATTGGTCTCTTTTTTTTGGATGAAAAAAGGAAGAAATTATCGATTTTTCATGCGTTTAACTATTATTTAATTTTAAATTATATTTAGCATTATAATATTATTTCTAGGATTCTTTTAGTCCATTTTAAAAAATTATTTTTTTACACTATATTTTATTTTAAAAAACAATTTATTTTCATCTGTGAAACAATATGTGTTAAAAATAAATCTGAGGAAAATCTTTTCAGTCCTATTAGGAAATTAAAAGTAAGCCGTAATGTTTTTTCCGTGCATTTGTTAAAACTTTATTATTTTTTTCAATATTTTTCGTCATCGCAATTAGATTGGTCATCTGCAATGTGTGTAATCAGGCAATGCGCATGTCTTAAAGAATTGTCTAAAGTTTTAATTATTGGTTGCGCGCATTTTTAAATTTGAAGATCTATTTTGCCCAAAAATGCATTTACATTCCATTATATGTGTAAAATAATACTAATCTTATAAATTTTAAGCAATTTGTTCATAAACTTTTGAGTAATTTTTAATTTATATATTGTACGTGGATTGAATAAAATAGGCAATACAAGTGTATGTATTGCCTGATTACGCACATTGCAGAAATATAACAGATAAAATTATTCCTTGTAACAATTTTTAATAACTCAGTAACAGTCTTTTTTTATTTGTTTTAAAAAATAGTTTATTATAAGGGAGATTGAGGGATAACCATGGTTGGTGGGCACCCTTTATTTTCTTCATAAAATACTTAATTAGTGTAGTTAGATTTTTTGCCTAATATCTCATCAGTTGTATAGATGCTGCTAAAAAAATTTAGTTTAAACTTTTAAGTTTATATAAATTTTTAATTAATGAAAAATATATGATCTTTACTATAAAAAGTAGGTATACTTTTTTTAAAAATACGATCATTAATGAAAGTTTATATTTTGATAATTAATTGTTTTAGGGAAGATCGGGCACAGAGGACCGATTTTGTAAAATTTGTAAAGCTAACAAAAGATATTGCCTTGCCAGCTATTGCCAGCTACCTCAAATAGTAGCTGACTATACAAAGTATCTAGTGTTATATAATTAATTTTTTAATTTTTTTTAGAAAAGCAAAATTTTCAATTTATTTTAATTTTCAAGCCAAAAAACAGGGCACATTGGACCAAGTGGGGTACATAGAATTACATATAAAATTGCATATAAAAATATTATATTTTAACAATAATATATTTTATAAAGATTATGAGGAATCACTAAAAATATAAAATCTTATGATACAATAAATAAAAATATATAAAAATGTTACATTTCAATGGTAAAAATGGTCCTACATATTTCAGTCTTCCCAGCCCTTAGTCCTTAGACCTGATAAAAGATGATATAAAAAATACTAATAGATAAATATTGTAATATAAAACTCACACATGTGGTAGAAGAGGATTTCATTTCTCATTCGATATGTTATATTTGATGATTTATAATATATTTGTGATAGATTTGGATGTTGTGGGTATCAACAATCCCTCTATCGTGGACGCTAAAAATTATAATTGGTGTTTAATAATATTTGCTAAAAAGTAAGTTCTCCTACTAAAACATTCCAAATAAAAAAGTGAAATAAAATAAGCAATAAATATATTTAAAAAAATAGAAAATTTAAACAAAAAGGAGTTATATCTAAAAAAATATTCATATTAATATGGCAGGTGGTTCAAAAAAAACGTCACGTTTTGAAATATTTATTTCTGAAATTTTTCTAATTCTATTAAAGAGTGTATGAAGCTTAATATTCTTTAAAAAAAATTATAATTTGATCTAGTCATCTTTTAGAAAATTGAGATTAAATATGCTAAAATTTGATTAAAAAAAATCACTTCAAGATTCAATTTTATTTGACGAAAAAAGGGAAAATGAATTATTTAGATTATAGCCTCTCGCCATTTTTCTACCAATTATAGTAAAAATAATGAGGTTATCAAACGAATCTAATTCTAATAAGCCTCTTTTAGTAACACCCATCAGACAATTCTTTAAACAAAAAAATGGTATTTTAATAAGTAATCTCACACTGTTAAAATTATGCCATTGAAATACACTAAATTTGATTCGAGGATTCCCTAAGAAGAAGTAGAGCATTTGTGAAGTTTACGAGCTTTAAATGGCTTCATGCTTAAGATTTTTCAAATCTTATCAACGACCCTCTAGCTCCTCTAGTTTAATTCCACTTGGATTATTTATATGTGGAATGAGTTAAACACATATAAATAAATAACTTTTAGATTTTCAGATGAACTTGGAAAAAAAATTGTGAAATGTGACTCTTAATCTCGCAAGGAAAAAAAAATAAAGTTGGCATTATATCAATGGAAGAAAAGGAGGGCAGATTTAGCAAATATTTCGTTAAATATATTTTGATAATTCTATAATTGTTATTCGATTACAGATTTCAAAGTATGTTTGTGTTTTGTTATAATTTATAATAAGGAAAATATTTTGAAAATAGGCGAGCGTCCGGCTAGTCAAGCACAATTGGGACCCAATTTGATCTCAAATTTCTAAAATGACTTAATTAAATTCTAAAAAATCATGGAGATAATAAGTTCAAACACTAATACAAAATTTAATAAAAACCGTGTGACATGTTTTAGAATTATAAAGATTTTAAGACGAGAAGTTTTTATAAGCTATCTGAGATAATGCTTAAGCTAAGCCCCAACAAAGAACTCATTTCACATAAATGTAGCTTAAAATATCTCAGCCGGCTGGAAAAACAAATTACCAATTTCTTGATATTTAAACTATAAAATAAGATATTTTATTTATATGCAAAATAAATTATTATTTTTGAATTTTAAGCTACTCTTTTTCTTTTTTTTTAAAAAAACGAGGCTTCACATTGTCCTCGGTCTTTCCTATTCGGTTTAAATTGTTAAATAAAATATAGTTTATTTTTACAATAAAGCAAATTTTAGAAAGGAATGAAAAAATACCATTCATAATCGAACCGTTTTCAGTCTTATAAATAATAAAAATATCTCCTGTAAGATTAATAGACATTAAAGAAAAAAAAAAGGAATTTTTATCGGATATAAAAGTTGCCATGAAATTAGGATGTAAAATATTGGTTAATAAATTAAATAATTTTTCTACATAAATTTTTAAATACAAAATAAAATAAGTTATTGATTTTGTATGTCTAAAATGTAGAGAAGAAAAATAAAGAAAAGATTAAACTTTGGCATAATTTTTCAAGCCAGGCCCGAATTTTTTCACAAATATTTGTCCAACCCGACTCGATCCTTTGTCCTGAAAAACGCGACCCGAAATAACAATTATTTGTTCGCCTGATCCGGTTCGAATATATTAAAATATACATATATGAATTAATATATTTTTTCAAAATATTTTGACATTTTTACACTTAACATAATCTTTTGATCATTAGAAAAACAAATATAAAATATTGGCACTTTGTTTCTCTTAAAAATTTCACAATATATCAATTTTATTTCAAAATTTAAGCTTGAATATCAAAATCTAGATTTTACATTCTTCATTATATATCAATTAATCGACACTGGACCACAGAAAATCGATTCCAATAAATATCTAATCTAGTAATTTAAAGCATCAAAAAAATAACAATAATAACAGTAGTCAAGCAATTACAAATGAAACTATGCGAGTAAAAATTACGTGACCCTGATGAACTTGCATGGTAACAAGCTTGAAAAAGACATTTTCGAGCTATCCAAATTACACATAGGTGCCATTAACTACTTTTATTACAAGAACTGCAAATACTATGATTCGATTGGACAGGATAAGGATAATTATATACGGGTTAACGATTTGGTCAAGATGGACCCTCACCTCTGTAACAAATGTATTATATTATACATTAATCACCTACTGTATGAAGAATTGATATACATTTTAATCAAACGAAATAGTTGTACCAAAAATATAATATCATTAAAAAATTGTTCACAGATCCATATTAAGAGCACATACTTTCTAGAAAATTTCTTCCACCCTAAAACTTTTGATTCTTTCTTCAATTATTTGATTATATTAGAGCCAGGAAAGTTGGATATGCTCCTTAATTTACGATTTTACCAAAAAACTCGAAATGATTGCCATAAAAATAAAATTAATTATGCAAGTATTATTAAAAATGATGTAATACCGTCTCACGAGATTGCTGCCTATAGTGATATAATAGTTAGGACTCCTGATCAATATTTATTCGACGTTAATCCTATTTTAAACCTTAAATCAGTCTCATATGAAATTTTTAATAGGGTTGATATTGACACCAAGATCAATTTAATTAAGACCAATGTTAACGCCGACATAGAACATCGTAATTTTAACAACAATAATAATATAAAAAGAATTCATAAAAAATCCAAATTACTCGATAACATTCACACAATTAATAGAGATGAAGTTAACCGCTTCTATGACAAAAAAATAAGTGTAAATAGATCCTACAAACATATCATGGGCAGTTTTAACATAGCCAAATTCAAAAGTATGATGAAAGGTATAGAAAAAAATGCGTTGGAAAGCAAGCTTAACGATTTTTCAACTCCTGGCCTACTCAGATATGACAATAAAATAAACAATGTTATATTATGCGCTAGTGAAAACGATATAAACCGATTGATTTTAAGAGGAAACGTGCCTAAAGCATCCTTAATAATAACGGGTAACAAATTCGCGAGATCTGGTTTTCTTAACTTGATGAGAAAAAAAGTGTCAATACACAAAGCTTTGCAAAACGGTAAAAAGTATGAATCTATAGAGTTTAGCCCACAAAATAATTCAACAAAAAATTTCAAGACTTCAAAAATGACCTTTACAAGACAGGAGCCTAATAAGGATGAGAATGTCCCCTCTAAGACCATATTGATTGGAAGTAACACAAATCAATTGAGATCCCGTAAATTTAGTAAAATTTTAAATTCGAATTTCTTCAACCCTTTTTACAGAGTCAATAAGGTTGACGTGATAAGTAAATCGACTGCCAAGATATGCCAAAGGAAAAAAAAGTTTACACAAAATATGGTAGGTCATCGTAGCGACAAAAACTCTAAGATGATAGGAAAGATTCCTATTAATTCTAAAATTTCCTTTTCCAGAGTTTCAAAAAATTGTTTAACATCATATAATAATCATGAATGGGCAAAATTACCCAATTCAAAATCCTTATTTTATTCTACCCGTTTAAAGAGTAGTGATCCGCAAATTAATTTATCTTGGATGGTCGCTGACTATAATAAAAATAAAAATAGCAATTGCCCAAATAACGATGCGAAATATGTTTCGGCTATTATGGCATTAAAAAACATTGGCAGTGAAGATTTATTGGTGTCTTTGGCGAAATGGGTATTGAGAAAGTTGCATATAGTGTTGCTAATAATCGATTTGGCAGTTTGTGGTTACGAATTTGGCCAAGAACAAAATAATGACAATAAATCCATAGATTCCTTTGTACTTAGTACCTCAAAAAAAAAATTGGATTTGATAGGTTCAGATTTTGAATACGATAGTTTATTAAATAATGATGGTACGAATATTCAGAATAATTATGAATACGAGCGTAACTACCCTATTAGCCCTTACCACACCCCCATGTATGATAGCGAAGTTTATTTAAATTCTGATGCACTGTTACCTATTAAGAGTTTAGGCTCATCGTTCTTGAAGAAAGGTGTTGAAGCGCCAATCGACCATGATAATATAGAATATGTAAATGATTTTGAAATGAACAATCAGCGCAAGAGCCTTATTAACCATAAATTCAAAGCCTCATTTAAGAATTTGATGAGAAAATTTACTCGATTACAAATATCCAATCCCTCGCCAGATCAACTATCCAAAAAAATTAACCCAAGTATTAATAAGTTGTGGAATAAAAAATTGAAAGATATTGATACGAATTACAGTGTTCCTGGGAATTTGAAAGGGCATACTTATAGATTTAGTTATTCTCCTTACTCGAAAAAAAATTATCCAATACCCATTACAAATAATGTCAACAAAGACATGTATGATGGTAATAAGGAATCTCAAAATATAGTAAAGTCAAAATTTTCTCAGACATTTTTGATATGGAAGATGATTAACGCAAGCTTATCCCAAGACACCAATAAAGATACACGTCTTAAAAAATTTGTGCCGCAAAATGTGAAATCCTTAAGATCCATTATCGATATCAATATTGAAGATATAATTAATTGGATCAAAAGGATAGACCGAAAATTATGTGCCCAAGGCTGGCAGGATTTAAATTTCTCGGATGAACCAGCAAATATAATATTTTTATTTGGAATTTTAAAAAATCAGTTTTCAGTCCAAACAATTTTAAATCATTGCTTGACAGCTGTGAAAAAGTATGTCAAGCTTTACTCCCATAGAACTAAAGAGAGCTTATTAAATAAAAGTTTCCGAACAGCCACCGACTCGGGCTACGGCGATAATTCTCCATACCAAGTAAATGAAGTGCACAAAAATATCTTGAATGCTCTAACACTCATATTAAGCTTAGGTGAATATAACGAATCCCACCAAAATAGAGCAAAAGTGAGAAGATATTTTAAATTTAATGACCTTGAATCTCTAACCGCCGATCCAACAATGCAAAATAATGATGGCCAAATAGGTACTTTAGAAAATATCGAAATCAATCTAAATATATTATTAAAGTCTGATAAGCTCGATGATAATGGAATCCAAAATTTTGAATCAGCTTTTCAGAGTATAAACAATGGAAAATATATGGAAATAACGGAAACTATATTGAAAGCATTGTCGCAAATGTCCGATTTTAAAGCTATGGTTAAACGAAGTATTATGTCGACTCTGTACATATCCTTTTGCTATATGGGTAACGAAATTTCTTACCCGGTAAAACCTTTTTTCAGTTTTGATTATACGAGCGATGAAAGTTTTTATGACGATTCCTATGATAGCTTAGATGAGGGTTGCAACGATTATGATTACAATGTGCCCCATAAAAAAGATATAAACAATTCCATGCGCGAAATAAATGTGGGAAAAAGCTTTTGTGAACTCAATAATAGCAATAAGAGCGCGAGAACTCATTCCTTATCTAGATTTTCCATGGATGATAAGGAAATCGAACAACTACCCTTAAACGATGGCAATTATCCATTTAATAATGACAACAATATGGTGGGCAGAAGATTAGTGCGAAAGAAGAAAAGGAGTAAGAAAGAAGAATTTTGGATGGAATGCTTAAACATTATTGATAATTGTAGCCACGCTATGCTCATGACAAACTCGGAACCCAATTATTTGTTAGATCTCTACCAGGAATTGGTGACCTTATGAGTATGTCAAATGTTTCAGCATATCAATTTTTATTATTGATAAAAGAATATTTAAAGTCAACAAAATCATGCATTTTTTTAAATATTTATTTGTCAAAATATTATATAATTATATTAGTAATGCAAGCAAAAAAATATTTATAATATGAGAACCTAATGTGAATTTCGTCTTAATATTTTTTGATATATATATATATATATGATTTAAAATTAATCATATATTAATATTTTTACAATTTGATATGAATAAAAGTTTTAAAAAATTCCCATAATTTATTTGCCGTAGCGGTTAGACCCAAAGTTGTTAACGCTCCTTTTTAAAAGTAGCTTCCCGCTTCAAGTAATGGAGTGCCACTCCTAGCCGCTCCTTTGATTTTCATTTTTTTTAAAGTACACGAAACAAAATCATATTTTTTTATTAAAAAGTTTTACTTATAATATTAAATGATATATCAAAATATTTATAAACTTTTATTAGCTTTTAAAAGTAATATATTTTCTAAGTTTGAATCTAACAAACATCCACCCTTCTCTCCTCAAACCTGTTTAGCATTACTAAAAAGGCGCTCAACAGGAGCACTAGTGGAAAGCGGGGTATTGTATTTTATAAAAATATTTTTTAATTCAGGAAATTTATCAAAAATAGTAATTTTGATATCATTATTTAGAAAATATTTGTCCAATATATTATCTTCCTGATGATAAATTTCATGGAATCCAATAAAATCTTCCAAATCATTGCAGGGTTTCCGTAAACTAGAAGCTATTTTTGCATCAGGAATTTGTTTTCTTATAAAATTAATTAATTTGTATTTTAGTTCCATATTTTGGGCATATTTTATCCATTCCCTATTTAATTTGAATGTAGGATGGATAATAGCCGCAATGATATTTTCATCATTATTGAATATCTGCAATAAAGTTATTTAAATAGATAATTTATTTTTTATTTCCATTTCCTCTTCTATGATGTCTGGATCCCCAAGAAATTTCTAATATAAAAGAAAGAAAAACTTGATGTTTAATATTTTAACTGATTAGATGAAAACCCAATATAAAACTCGGTTCAAGATTAATATTGCATAAATTTAAATAAAATAAAATTTCATTTTTTATTGGATTTTAATTAACAAATAAATAGATTTATTAATATTTAAAATAATTTAATTTATATATTAAAGAGTGGTGGAGCGGCGCTCATCCACTCCAGCCCTAAAAGGAGCTAACTCAGGTGTTTTTAAAAAAGTGTAGCGGCGCTATAGAAGCGCTACTTCTTAACAACTCTAGTTAGACCATATATTGTGAATTTATTTGTAAAAATACTACCAAATATAAAAGTAAATTTTGACAACCTACCAGTCATTGACAATAGAAGACAATCTAAAAAAAATTAAAGTTCATCCTCTATCAACTCACTGAGTGACATAGCATAAATATTAACAAATATATTGATAATAAATATTTTTAAGAGGGACCTGGAAGAGAAATTTTGAACAAGGTGAAAAAAAGAAAGGATAGACCGTAAGGGAAGAATTATTGGTATAAAGATATAATTAATTATTTTGAAAAGCTGCAGCATAATTATCCTGAAAGATGGTCCGTTTTGATAGCTTACAATATATATTTTTTTATACTCTAGATATATATTCTTGAATAAAACAAAGAAATGCTCTTTGTTAGATCAAACTAATAGTTAGATATTTCTATTTTCGATTTACTCTGAAATATAGATACAGATCCTTCCAAAGTTAATATTATGTATTAATTGAAAAAAAAATTCATAAATATTTTTTTAAACAAAATAATAAATTGATCCCGAATTAAATTGTTAAATATTGATATTTGTATCGTTCCTGATATCAATATAAATTTTATTTTTAATAAAAAAATAATTAAATATTTTAAAGTATATGCAATTATTTTAATGTTTATACGCACTTTATCCTTTCTGATTGCTGGGGTAACAAGAAAGGATAAAGTGCGCAGTACTAAGAATACTAAGTAGTTTAAAGGTAGTGCCCATTAAGACTAAGTTAATGGTAAACAGACTTAGGTGGTTTGGGCACGAGAAGGCCTATGAACTACATAGGAAATAAGGTTGAGTTTGTTAGTGATGGGCAAACGTAAAAGAGGAAGACCAAAACTTCAATAGGGCCATAAAGTTAGAGCCAATATAAAGAAGTATAAATTAGATAAAAGAGATTGTATGAATAAAATGTGGAGAGAGATGTTGAAGGAGCTTACCACCAGAAAAGGTGAAAGCTAAAGAGAAAAAAAAATTACTACACATAATTCCCGCATTAAAATTTCTGTTCCCCTAAAAAAAAAAATTATATCATGATTTTATACTGCATCTGGGCGCATAAATCTAGTTGGAAAACTGTCAAGTTGAAATTTTATTGCTCATTATATAAATTACATATAAGGCATGAAATCGTAATAACTTTATTATATTTATAAGAAAACGAATTATTAAAAAAATAAATAAATATATCTTAAAATAAATATAAATTGAAGATTGGTTTTACGATGTAAAAAAAATAATTGTAATAATAGTTTTGTTAAATATAAAGACTTGATTTAAGAGTTGAATAGAGATATGGACCTACTGATATAATTTTAAATAAAACCTTTGCACTGACTATATTTAAGATAGTTAGGTTTGATGAGATTGAAATTGTCTTGTTACAAATACCAAATTTATATACTTAATAAGAATATAATTTCAAATATATTATATCTATTCTAAACTTTTTTGAAGGAATTCTATAGTTACAAATAATTATTTTGATCAATTTAAAAATGAGTTATAATAAGTTAAGCCCGACCACTCAATAAATTATTATGAGGAGATGGTGGAGAAGATGGGGGCCTCTTATCTGAATCTTTATTCGACATGTTTAAAGTTCCAACAGATAGCTTGGAATTGCTAGTTTTAACTTGACTACATACATCAGTCTTGAATAGATGTTTATCAGCAAAATTAGTAGGGGAATTATCGTTGTTGTAATATTTCAACTTTCCTTGAATGCTACTTATAGATGATGCCTGACTATGGGAAGTCGAGTACGTGCATAATTTCCCGTTGACTAAACACTTACGATTTTTTGCGAAAGAGTTGGATTTGTTTCTCATGGCGAAGGTTTCAAATTGATCGTTTAAGGAGGATCTTTTCTTTCTATCGACGTTTATCTTATCTCTTTAATTTATTTGTATATTTATTTTTATAGCATTTAACACATAAATATGATTATGTAATCAAAAAATATATCAATATGAAATTATAAAAAAATAATTTTTGATAAACTATATTTAATGAAGAAAGCTTAAAAATTTAACAGTTCGAATTCATTTGAAATGAATGATAAAAAATAATAATCTTCATTCATCATGGGTTCCAAATGATAAAATTAATTATTTAAAATAAACAAATAATATGTTTATCAGATGGTATTATTTATTACTAATTAAACTTTTATTTATCTTTTTCGACGGTAGACCTGTGCACCATCGGATCACGCCGTCCCATCAAAAAATTTCACCATGACTTGCACCGACAGACCCGCTGTTGATTTTTAATACAACGGCAGCGCGGCATAAAAAATGTATAAATGCGATATATTTAATATCATATTTTTGAATTCAAAGTTTACATCATTCACTATATAATATTAAATTATGCTTTTTACGTATCAAAATTAAATTAATTGATTAATATATCCTTTTCATTTCCAATTATTCATTCATATAATAAATTTTCATGGAACCTCGTTTATAACTATTAAATAACAACGCTCTCTAATAATAATCCAGTTATGCGTGAGTGCGGAGATACTTTGATAAACTAATTATAAAGAAAGAAAACAAGAAAAGTACCATAATGATTATTACTAAGAAAGTTACTTATTATTTTAACAGTTATTTATTTTAATTTTAAACTATTATGATTTCAAAATTTAACGATTATTGACAAAAATTTTATACCCCCCACCCCCTTCAATTTTTAATTAACGTCTAAAACATATTGACATTGATGAGATGTGGAAAAGATTATTCAATTTATAGATCAAACATTAAGCACATAGCTTGAAATATTTTATCATAGGTAGAGCTTTGAATAGCACTATTTGGAGCAGAAATGTTTTATTTTAAGGGGCTTCCTAAACCATTGGTTTTTTAGGCCATAATAAATTGAAATGCATTTTTATTTATTAATAATGATATGTATATAATAATTTTATTGTTCAAAATATCATAATACTTATAAATTGAAGCTAATTATATATAAAAATTGAAACTTAATTTTGGTCAATTTAATAAACATTTTGGACATAAAAAAATATGAATTTTAAGAAGATATTAAAATTTCTTAGCATAAATCCTAATTACCAATCATAAACAGCCATAAAATTGCCTTTTCAAGATTTTGAAATTTTTTTCATTATTAATTGCCATAATTGACGTGTATGGTTTAGCAAACCCCGCTAGCTCTAAATTGACAAATCATGATTGAAATAATATCTAGATTTGATAAAAACTTATAAAACTTACCCAAATTATAGAAGAATGTTTAAACTTTGTAATAAAATTTAATTTACATATAAATGATTATATATTTTAATAAAAATTAAAATTCTGTCATGTAAAAATCTTTTAAAAATTTCATCAAACTTTTATTTCTTAAATAAAATTTTTAGTAATTAATTATTTCAAAATATATTTTGTCCATAGATGTATACTAATGAAAACTATATTAGGATAAAATTTTAACCTTCTGGTGTATTTAATTTTAAAATGAGATTAAGTGGTTTGCCAAGCCCCGGGGTTTACCTAACCCTAGTCTCCCCACACTTTATATAAAAAGTTTAAATATTATAATAATAAATCGATAAAATATTATTGTTAATGTGACTGAGAAAAAAGGATTTTTTTAAAAGAGAAAAAATATATTAATTTATGTAGGGTTACCAGGGAAAACATTAAAGAACTCTATTATAATATAACAATGATGAAACCAAGAATGTCCAAATAAATTGTATAAAATTACATTAAATTATAAATCAATTTGATTTATTAAAAAGGTTAAAATTTGCCGCCGCTTAATCAATGCGTATTCTGTGCATTGACAACCGCCGATTTATATCTAGGCGCACAGGTCTAGGTATAAGTAATGAATAGACTTAAAAATCAAATAATCGATTCTAATTATCGATAATATGATAACAACACATAAATTTAATAGACTACAAAATTAAATAATAGAAAATCGAATCGAACAATACATTGTTTAAAAACGAATCGCATTATATTGAGGAATTCGATTCAATCTTACAAAGTCTAGTAATATAAGTAACAAATACTTCATAAGTCAAGTATAATAATTAATACAGCAGATTATATAATTTTTATAGAAAATCAATATTACCTAATATTAGGCTGATAAAAGGAGGGACTTTCCGAGTAGCGCTTTAACTTTTTAGGTTCCAAAAAAATTTGGTTATTTTGATCTGTGTGAGGGAGAGTTGTGTGGCAATCGGGTGATTTTATGATTCCGTTAATTTTAGGAGATTCGCAATTATAATCGTGATTACTTTGAGGATAAATTTTTTGCGTATATTCGCAATTAAGCCTCAAAAATTGCAATGTAGGCAATGGATCAGGATTGAGCATAGTGGAATGTGTCCCATTTTGAAATGAGGCGGTATGAGGTGTTGTGTTAGGAATAAGATCGCGGTAATTCAAATTATTCACATTTTTTAAGTTTTTTAATGCATCAACAGCTACTTTAATAGGTGTTTTTGTGTATATGTCACATTGTGAAGTCGAGTGATGACGTTTAACGATGACAAAGGAGTTAAGATGCTTGGACGTTTGGTCAATTGGTAATGATAACTTTTTCCGAGTCAATTTTGGTAAAGCATCGGTTTCATTTCCGCCTAAATTAAGAGAAACTTTCCTAGTTTTTATGGTAGTTTCCTGTTCACCAGTTTGTAGCGGTGTTATTTCTTCGGCTATAGAAGGTTGGTAAGATGATGGTTTGAAAATTATTTGTTTTTGAGGGGGTTCTTTAGAGGGAGGGGAAATTTGAAATTCGCCGGTAGTCTGGGAGGGTATAGGGAATACTTTGCTGAACAAGGTATACATTTTGACGTCACATATTTCCTGTTCTATTTGCTCTATTTGTTCGACAAGGATGTTTTCATCGCGAAGGACATTTAATTTAGCATTGTTTAAGAACCATTGATGATTCAAACATTGTTTGGCTGTCATACGTTTCCTAATTTATAAAAATTATATTATAGGATAGTTAATATGTTTTGTTTAATAGTTGTGGTTAAAAGGCGTATTTATATTTATATCTATGGATTTATAATTACGCCGGGAGGATTAAGGAGATGGATGATCAATTATTATAATTATTTTTAGTTTATAAATTTAAAAAATGTTTAATATGGTTTTTCTTTTTTAAAACTTTTATTCGCAACCACCATTTAATGCCAATTCCTTGTAAAAATACAATCATGATGATAAGTTAATCATTAAAAAGTTTTAAAATAACAAAAATAGTAATGGTTTTTTATAAGAGAAAATGTAGTTAGAATTTTATATTTGACTTTAAAAAATCGGTTCGGACAAAAAGCTGAACCAATTCCAAAACTAATTTTATTTAACATTTGTATTATTATATTTTATTAAATTATTATAAGATATTATTTTGAATCGTGGTTTAATTTTTTCTCTTCCTTTAAATTATTTTTTGTTACTTTCTTTCAAAAATAGGGTATATTCGTTTATATTTTTTAGTAACTTGGGATGCAGAACGCACAATTTCGTGATAAAATCAATGGCCTCCTTGGAGATGTGATCAAAAAGTTCTGAAGGAAAATCAAGATTGCACATAGTTATGTTCAAGTAAGTCTCCTGTACCATATCATTGTTAGAGCCTCCTCCCTTACTTTCTAACATAAATAAAATAATTTTGGTATTATTAATCGATGAGCGTGTTTAAAATGTAGGGGGGGGGGGTAAAGAGAGGGCAACAATTTTTAAGATAATTTTTTAACCCTTGAGCATAAAGACCTTATATTTTGTGTGAAGATGTATTTTTATAATCTCTTACCTATGTTTATCTTTCGAAAAACTTTCCTGGAATTATAAAAGTTGTCATGGGCTAAGGTTGTTATGGGCAAACCGCTTAAAATGTTCCATCTGATTTAAGCTTTAAAAGAATAATTCTTAAATATTAATGGTTACACCATATAAAAAGATATTTTTGAGCAAAAAGAACCATTAATAAATAGTTTCAGTGTTATTTGGAATAAAATTTTAAGAATAGTCACATAGGGATAGAATAATTGAAATGTTCAATGGGCCTTTTAAAATGAGCACTCAAAATATTATATTTTTGATATAATATTTTACATTCCGGTATAGTATTGATTAGCTTATATTTAAAAGTGATGAATAGATATCAAAATTGCAATATTTTGTTCGATTTTATTTTAGCCGTTTTACCCTGGGGTAAATGGCGAAAATGAAACACTTCTCATAATTAATCATAGCTCCTAAGGCATCATAAGTAGAGAACTGCACTTTTTTTATTTTGTAAATAAGGGATTTGGCTATATAAATCTATAATTTTCTCTATTTTGTTTGTTTAAAAATTTAATGGCGATAATGCAAAATACCAATCGTTTTACCCCTGTCCCCCCTATTCTAGGTGTAGTTAAATATAACTATTTGCTTTCCTGTGGAATAATTTTAAATAACTTTAGCAATATATATATAATCCTAAACTATATTCTTTCATTTTAAAAAAAGGAAATTTTTAGCAAAAAATATCTCTAACTTCTAAATTAAACAACATATAGTATTTGGGTTTATTCCAATAATTGATCAGTTTAATGAATTATAACATTAAAAATTTGATAAAACCTTCGCTTTCGGATTCCGTATCGGATTCGCTATTATTAGAAGAGAATGGGGAATGACCGGTTAACATGACGTAAGTTAAAACGCCTAGACTCCACATGTCAGTTTGAGTGCTGAGAGCGTCGTAATTCAATACTTCAGGAGCTTTAAAAAAAACAATTCGTATGTTTAACGTTAAACTAATTCTTGAATTGGTGTCGCACATTATAATACGATAATAACAAGCACGGCAGACCACTTGAAACTCTATAATTTGATCATTCATACAAATTATTTGAATCATCATTATTGAGGAGGTAAAATTGTAAAAATTTATTTTTCAGATAGATGTGAGATGTAATCCTAAAATCATAAGGGTTCCCTTGGAATCTTGCCTTGCGATGCCAAATAAATCTTTCACAATTTCAAATCAAAGTATTTTAAGAATAATTTGTTCGGAGAGAAGTTTTATTTTACATAATCGATGTTAGATTTAAAATTATCAATGTAACCCCAAAGATTGCCATTAAATAATAATTTGCACTTATGAAAAGAAGATCCGAATTAATTGCCTAAAAAATATTATAGTCTTGGAGCCATTGCTTTGTCAAAGTTTGACTGCATAAAAATATTGCAAAACACCGTTGATAATAAGATACGAGGAATTTTCATAAATTTAATACATAACCAATTTACCAACATAATCCGGTGTTCCAATCATTTCGCGCATTTCAACGTTGGAGTTGATTATCCTGGAAAGACCGAAATCACATAATTTGATATCTCCTAGGGGCAGGGGCTGCGTCAAAAGGATATTCGAGGGCTAAGATAGTTATAAAATAATGAAGATACTTATACTATTAATATTCAACTGTATATTGAAGAAATTTTTCAAAATATATTACACATGCATATCATATTTAGGAATTTATGGTAAATAAATTTAATTTTTTCTTATGAGTTACGTAACCATTATAGTAGTAAACAGTAAAAAGGAAAAAATTATTAGGAACAAAATTTTGATCAGCTTTCCGATTAAAAAGCGATTGAAAACATTTATTATGAAAATTCTATCATGTTTAGAGTTTAATTAATTGTATATTATCTAATATTGATAGACAATATAAAGAAGAAAAAAAGTTATTAGCAAATTAAGAAAAAAAAATGTCATTAATGGAAAATATAGAATGAAATAACTTTGCGCTAATATTTAATGCATGACTAGTATACATATTAACTCCGATATCAATTTTGCAAACCACAAAGAAACCGAGTTATAAACAAAATGAAAATTATGATGTCACTCTTAAAGCATGAAGTAATCCAAACTTTTGAACAATAATTCTGTAACTTGCAGAGCCATTGCCACGGGGAATCCTGGGGGGGGGGGCAGGCTCTCCAAATAAATTTTGCCCCCAAATTTAAAAAAATTTATTAGTTATTAAATTTTAATTCACAATTAACAATTATATCTAAATAAAAATATAACAAAATTTTAGAAAAATATTATTTATTTAATTTATACAAAATAATAAACAAAAACACACCTATAAAAATATTGATTATAGAATACCCATTCACTCATTACTAGCCCAAGTGATGAATTTTGACAAAAGAAATTCGGCAATTGGAATAAAGCTGCAAAGAAGGAACTGCTATAACATGAAAGCTTAAAAGCTCATTTAAATTCAATAACAATATGGCATGATAAATACGGATACTGAGATAAAACAATTCTGGTAAGCCAACAAATTAACCGTAATCGTTATTATCTTAAATAAATATTTGATTTGATGCTATTTATTAACATACAGGATCCTTTTCGTGGGACTAGTTCAACAAAAATTACGGATGCTGAGAAAAATGAAAACATAATTTATTCTTCTGGACTATTTATAGCAATATTTTCTACACCACCCAAAAGGATCCTAAATTAAATAAAATTATAAAATGAATATACCCAAAAAAGCAAATTTCACATTTAATTGTATTTAAAACAACTTAATGAATTAAATATTAATTCATCGCGAATGTAATAAGCCAAGCAATATGATGGTACAAACTTCACGTTGGCAGAAATGGAGGAATACAAACCCTGCTTAAAAAAAAATTTAATAAAAAGGTGCGATGGTATAATAATATTTTTTATCATTTCTAATTTTTTTAAATTTTTATATTGTATCATTTTTTAGCATTTAACGTATCATGTTAATATACCGGCCATTTAAGAGACTTTTAGGCCAGAGGCGGACTGGCAGTGTTGTTAAAATAGCGCCCTACAAGTAACGCGCTATTATAGCTCACTACTTTTTTCAGTAGCGGTAGCTATAGCGCGCTACTTTTTTTAAAAAATAGCGATAGCGGTAGCTCGCTACTAATGCGCGCTACTTTCAATTTTACATAATAAATACATCTAAAAATTATTAAAATATATTTTTTATAAAATCTAAAATTATAATCCTTTTATTTAATTTAATTTTGAAATTTAAATTTATATTTAAAAATATACATTATTGTTATATATTAGATATAAACAGTTGTTAAATAGCAATCTGTATTTAATTTATATTTCGCGCATTCATTAAATTATATATTTTTGAAATTCCGTTATTGGTATGTCCTTGCTTTTATCTTATTTTATATTTCATTTTATTTATATTAAGCATTATAAATCTTGTTATGTGTGAGATTGTTGAAGATATTAATTTCTTTGGAAAATGAGCAAAATATAGATGATCCTTTCCCATTCAAGAAATACTTTAACCTTGAAGAAAAAATTAATACTGTGGATATCGATTTCGGTGCAAGATGTGCCGCAAAATTATCTCTTCAAATCATACGAGCAGCTTTAATTTGAAAAAACATTTAAAGGTAATATATTAAACAAATTTAATATCAATGTGTAGGCTAATCTTTAATTTTTAAAATAAATTAAAATAAAAAACCAATCATTTTTTTTATATATTCATAAATTTTATCTAAATTATTTAAAACATTTTAAAATAGTTATTTCAATCATTTTTATGTACATATCTCCTACATAATTTTTATTCTAAGAATTTTATAATTTTAGAATGTGCACACTTCAAATTATAAAGAGATTGAAAAATATCTCAAAAGTTTTGGGGTAATGGAAGAAGATAAACCCACTTCCAAATGAAATTTAATACAAACAAAATTAGCCAATTTGGATTCATCAACACCTGGTGTATCCCAAAAATTGGCTGACAAAGTCATTATGAACTTTATAATAGATACAGTTCAACCATTATCCTTGGTGGATAATGATTCTTTTATAAAGATGATAAACACTTTTTCTCCACGGACCAAGATATTTTGCCGGCAGACATTGATGGCAAGAATTTTGGAGAGCTTTAAAGAAATGAAAGAATCTTTGATATTAAATCTATCAGATGTCTCCTACGTCTGTACAACGGCAGATTGCTGGACTCACAATAGAAGGTAAAAATGTTTATTTTCTGATTTATAATATGTCATATTTTTAGAGCTTATTTAGGAGTAACTGCACATTGGATTGATCCTAAAAATCTTAAACGAAAATCTGTAGCGTTAGCTCTAAAGAGAATAATTGGCTGTCAGACTTATGACATTCTAGCCAATATTATTGCAGAAATCCATAGGTCTTACAAAATTCAAAACAAGGTTTGTAAGATGATTACGGATAATGGGTCTAATTTCCTGAAGGCATTCAGGTTTTAAATTTATTATAATTTTTTTATAATATGATATAAATAATATAGAATATTTGGGGAAGATAATAATAAAAACAATACTAGTAATATTCCTGACAAAAATATTGAAGATAGAGAACAAGAAGAGGATGATGAAATGGAGTTTGAGATAATTGATGTTCTTGACATCCTTGGTTTTAAATTATTTTATATTTAATTTTTCACCAATATAAAATAAAATTTATAATATTTAGGATCTTCAATAAAGTCTTCTATGTTACCTAGCCATCATCGTTGTTTCTGCCACAACCAAAATTTAGTTGCGACAGTGGATGCTGAAGAAGCATTATTAAATGAGGATTTTAAAAGAGTATCAAGATCTACATTTTCTAAATGCCAAGCTCTTTGGAATAAACAAAATAAGTCATCAAAGACGTCTGATATTTTCAAAAAAAAATTAGGACGTTATTTATTGACACCAAACACTACAAGATGGAATAGTGTTTACAATGCTAAGAAACTTTTAGCATTGTTTCTAGATGAGAAAAAAATGGAAATGAATTATATATTGGATCAAATGGGAATACAGTATTTTAATGTGGAGGATCATACTTTTATTAAAGAATATACTGAAGTATTTTTAATTAATAAATAATATTATATTATATTTAACCATTTTAATTTTTTAGGTTATGCAATATGTTGCTGCCTCACTTAAAATCTTAGAAGGGCAAGATAATATGAGCATGGGATATTATGTGCCGTCACTGAGTATATTAATTACCAAGCTCAAAACAATCAATAATCTAAAATTTTGCCAACCACTGATAGAGTTTATGCTAAAAGGCATTGAGAAAAGGTCAAAACTTTATTTTTATTTACTATTATACAATTATATAAAATGAATGATTTATTGCTTGATTAGCCATAATTTAAATTGGCTTAATTTACAACACAATCCAGGCGCGTAACCAATGGGGGGGGAAAGGGGGAAATCCCCCCCCATCGCAAATTTGTCTGTTTTCTTAAATATCATTTTAAGCTAATAAAAATTTTACCCTCCACCCCCTCCCCCCCCCCCCAATCAAAATTTTACAAATATTTGAATAACAATTTTCCAACATAAATCTTATTTTTTTATAAATATATTTTATTAAAATTTCCTTTCCTTGTGAGTACATTAACATTATTCAAAAATATTAATAAAATGGAAAAATTTTAAGTCAAAGAGATTGAAATCAAATGGTAATTTAGTTTATTATTATATATAATTATTTTATTAAATTCAAAATTATTAGTAAGTTAGAATTAATAAGTATTTTTAATATTAATTATTAATAAATATCTATAATTTTTTATATATTTTATTTTTATTTCGATTTTGTAGAACAGAAGAAATAGAAATACAAAAGTTAAATAAGGCTGAGCATGAAAAAAAGTAATCAGAGTTTATCAATGCTGCTAGTTGCATCAATAAATTATTTTCCTATAGCTCACTACTTTGTAGAAATTTACAAAAACCAAATTTAGATTTGGTTCAGGTTATTGATTTGGGGGAAAATATATATGAACAGGTTGATACAATAAGAATGAATGTAGATGAATATTTTCATAATATTTATATAGACGTTGAATCGAAGGCTAAATTTTATGATATAACACTAATTAAACCTCGTCTAGCACCTGGGCAATTATTGAGATGTAAAATAAATATTGGCTCAACTGAAGAATATTATAAAATATCTACTTTCATCCCATTCTTACATACTTTTTGCAAATAAAAGTACGGTTTTTAGATAAAAAACAAGTCTTTAGCAATCTTCAAGTTTTAATACCCAAAGATCCATCTTGGGTTTCTAATGCCACTATTGGTAAAATTAAATATTTAGCAAAATTTTATTCCTATGATATTGATACTGAAATAAATTTAATTAGTGAATTCGAATTGTGGTATAAATATTTACTACGTTTAGCTATTTTACCTGGGCATGCTATTGATGCGCTCAATCGGTGTAGAGAAACCTTGGCTCAAATTCCTAATATTTTGAAGTTGTTTTATATTCTACCATGTTTGCCTATTATAACAGGTACGAATGTAAGGACTTTCCAACTTAAGAAGGTTGAAAACATATTTATGAAGTACTACTTCCGAATCTCGGCTAAATGGGTTAGCTCTGTTAAATATCCACAGAGATTTGGTTCCAACGACAAACAAAATTCTTGATTGGCAACATTCTCACGAAAATTAAAAATCACATTATAATTATAGTATTTAATAGAAAACTTTGTATAATACTGTATTTGATAAGAAGTTTAAAAAAACTTGTTTTTTAAATTATTTTCTAGTCAATATTTTATAGTTTTGTTAAACGCCTCGTTTTGAACCGATTTTTAAAAACGGCTAACTCAATTATTTATCCAGAAAAATATTATGCAAGCCTGAAAATTTTGCTCATAGAAGAAGCAAAGGTCTAGACATATAGTATCGAAATTTCGAGGCTTAGTTAATATTTTTCTGACGAAAATATTGAGTTAGCCGTTTTTAAAAATCGGCTCAAAACGAGCCGTTTAACAACATTAATATTTTATACACACTACTATTAATATTTTCAATAAAAAAATTATATTATACTAATATTGTATGAGAATTTAAGTTAAGGATAGCTTTAAAGCAAATTTTATAAAAAAAATGACATTAAAATTTATTTCAACTTTACATTTAAAATACTTTATTAAATATAATATACCTAACTAAAAATAATAAAAAAATAGGCTTGTAATATCCATTAGCACGAATTAATAAATAATAGTTACAAATATAAATATAATTATTATTAAATTATGAATAATTTAATGGAATAGCTAAAACATAAGACCCGGCCGAAAAAAATTTTTCCCACCCCATAAGAAAATCCTGGATACGCCACTGACACAATCTATAATATTAATATATAGTAATTATTAATTAATATAAAATTCAAAATTAATATATTATTAATTACCTTGTGTATAATAATTATATTTTTAAAATTTTTATTTACCATAATTTATTGTTATTTTAATATTTTTTTTATAAATGAATCTAAATCTCAGATAAATTTAAATTTTAAAAATTAAAATGGTATTCTTCTTTTTTTTATAATAAATACAATCGCTTTATATAAATTAGATTTCCAGATCTGTAAGATGATGATAATGTAATAGCTGCTATCGTTCATCCTAGTTTCAAGTTAAATTGGCCATACATTAATTTGACTGAATCTAAAGGGCAACTTGATAGGCTGATGGTAACGTTAAAAAATGGCATGCCTAACCACGATACTATAGCGAGATCGAAACCGCAGCCTTCCATAGACGATTTTTTTGAAATAAATAATAATAATATTATTGAACCTCTAGATGCTTTTTTTTAAATCTAAAAATACTAATTTAAATATTTTTGATTTTTTTCATATAAAAAGTTTGTTTATTAAATTTAATACTGAGTTGCCCTCAAGTGCTAGTGCTGAACGATTATTTAGTATGGCAAAGCTTATACTTTCTGATCGTCTCTCTAAACTTGGGGATGACAGTACCAAAATGTTATTATTATTAAAGTGCAATAATAAATAAATTATATATAATGTAACAAATTATAGTCATGTTTTTATACCAATATTTTATTTGTGGAAATAAAGTTACGTAAAAAAAAATATTTAAAAAAAATATTTAAAAAAAAATCAAAGTAGCGTAAAAAGTAGCTAATAGCGCGCTACTCATTTGAAAACGATAGCGGTAGCGATAGCGCGCTACTTTTAAAAGTAGCGTTTAACAACACTGCGGACTGGTCATTTAGAATCTCGTATTATGAGAATTTTTAAGCTATTTATGAAGTATTATTTTATTTAGAACTTTTAACTCAAAGGTTTCCACTCATGATTCAGTCGAAGCCTCTAGTCTTTAACTCAATGCGTTAATATAAATTAAATTATTGGCCATTATAATTTATAAAGTATTAATAACAATAGATCCACTAAATAAGTATCTATAATCAGTAGGAACTAATATAGTGGATGGTAAAAATTGTATTAACTCAATTAATTGTAAACAGTCATCATCATTGGAGTATCTACGGCTTCTTGCGAGGCCTCGTTCTCTATACTAAAAAGAGTTCTGAGCACTAGAGAATCATCGACGTAAACAAAATATAGTATTTTAATGGCTTATGAAAAAAATAACACAAAATTTAGCATTTAATTTATTTATTTTAAAATTTAAAAATTCGTATTATATTATTATAGTGATATTTTACATATATTCATATAATAATTATTTTGTATTTATATTTACATTTACAAATTAGAAAAAGATTTATATGAGTGCCTAACTATTTGTTTTATTTCAAAAAAACATTGGCCCCCCTAAGTAGTCCCCCCCCCCAACAAGAAATTCCTAAGTAAGGCCCTGGTAACTTGTATTAGACCATTAAATAAGTGCTTATTTGTATAATTAATTGCTTTAATCTATTTGGTAAAGGGGGAAAAAATTATTACAAAATAAGAAAAGGCATCAGGTCAGAATGGGGAATATAAAAATATCTAGTTCTTTGCCCAGACTGAAAAAATAGTATGTCCATTCAGATACCTGCCCCTTCATCCAGCCTAGGTCCCTCTATCCGACGGAGGGGAAATGGTATGAGTGTAAAACTCCGAGTCGGGTTAAAAAATCATAATCCGGACATGTTCAAAAAATAAATAAGAGACCACAAACTCAGGCCGAATTTTTTAAAATATATAAATTAATCAGTTGAAAAATTATCGGTTCTCAATCTAGGTAGAATGGAACTCAAGAATAGAAAATAAAATGTTTGCTGGATTACCGAATCTAATATCCTTTAAGTGGTCGTATGTCAAACGTACTATAAACATTCAGTGATTCACTTTTAGATTTTAAAATTACGGTTCAGTTTGGTATGAAACCAATAAACACCAAGATGCAAATCAATAAACAGCAAAATATTCGAAATAAGTAAATAAAATCTTTTTTATATACTTTGATATCTAAATGGACAATGTTTAAAGAATGCAAGTAAGCTAGGGCTTCTACAACTTGTCTTATCACGCGAACGGTCACATTTTCCTCAATCAACACCTTTTTGTCAGGCATGCACTCTTCCAGTGTCTGGAATATTTCTCCGCCGTGAGCACTTGTAATATAAAATAAATTTATAATGCATGTAAAATTTTCAAGTGCCCCAGTTACCACAATAAAGTTATTAAAATGTGAAGTTAACTTGTGTAAAAGTGGTTCGCCATCGAACTATTTCATGCTAATATATAGTTTGATGGGAATCGCTATCATTCGGAATAAAATAAAAGTTATGGGAAGTGTATTTGAGGGCTCAGACCAAAAGATTAACAAAAGGAAAGGGTTACATTCATAAACTAAAAAAAAAATTTAAAAATAAGTTTTTGTTTACCTGAGCCCTAAAAAATGATGAAAATTTGCCTCTGATGCACTATCTAATATAATAAACTCCTTATTTTTATCTTATATATATGTCGTAAGTATTAATAAATTCGGGGCAATGCTAAGTTCAAAAGTTGACATTCTGGCAAAATCTGGTCTTTTAAAATTAAAAATAGAACGTTTTAATTCATTCTTTAAATTTTACAAATTTGGTAAACCCCCAACGACATACTTATGCTATAAAATAATTTTTACTATTCCATGATCATTATAATTTCCGAACTGGTTTCATAACATTGATACAGGGATATAAATCTGTCATGTTTCGATATCATGTTATGGATGCGTATTTCGTTAAGAACTGAAGCTCTAAAAGTTTTTCCCCTACGCCTTTTCCGTATAAATTTTGCCGCGAATTCCAATCGCTTGTTATTCTTATCGTGGCATTTTTTGACAATAGCAAAGTGACCACTTTAAAAAGATTTTTAAAAAATTAAAAATATAAGACATTATATATGAGATAAATCAACGGAACAATTTGCTAGAACAGGTTAAACAATTACTTATTTTATTTACATCAGTTTTTTTGGCATAAAAAGTATGCGGTAAAGGGGGGGGGGTGAGGTATTTTTATTACATTGATTAACAAACATAACTCTAAAGGCTCAAATAAAGATTTAAATCAATATATTTTATTATAACCAATATAAAATGCTATGGATGTATGCATAATTTTTATAAATATAAAAAGATAGTTATATTAAATTCATAATCAGCCGTTCTGTGTTATCAACTCAAATATACACAAACAGAGGCGTTTAGAAGTTTTATTATTAAAAATACTTCCATTTTTTCAAATAGAAAATATTTTAAGACTGCTAATAGTTATTTATCATTAAGACCTATTGAAAACATTTTTTGTCGTCTCCAATTCATCCCTAGTTTACATTCGCAGCGGATGGATAAAATCTTTATTTTCAATCATTTTTTAAAAAAAATTATCGTATTTTTAAACTTTATCCTATTAATTTTTTTATTAAAATTTAAAAAATTTCATTAAGATAAAGTGGGGTTATATAAGGGCATTATCCTTTTGATAATGTTATAAATTTTTATAAAATATTATAAAATAAGCAAAAAGTTGTATTATTTCAAAAAGTGATTATTTTTTTTAATTATGGAATATTTCAAAATTTATTTTTATAATTTTTAACAATGTAAAATGAATCATTGTTAATTAATATTTCTGAACTTCAAAAATGAAAAAGAAATCTATTTACAAAAAAATTAATCCTACAATCAAATTAATATTTATTTTTCAATCAATCTTTGGTTCTTCTTCATTTAAAACTGTAATAGTTTTTGTTCCCCTCCTATGGCATCACAAAATATCTCAGATTAATTCTTGGAATTTAGTCTATTAAATATAAAATATAAATCAAAATAACATGCTTATATTTAATCTTTTTTTTGTATCAAATAATTACTAAATATAATATAATACGTAATTGGATAATAAATAAAATATTTTATATTTATTTGAATTCTTTTATTATTTCAATGCTCCATATTAACCACATTTTTAAATGATGAGGTTATTATATAATGTTTTTTTTTAAGTTTCCGGAAAATCCCAAATCCTAAAAATTCTTTAAATTCCTTTTAAATTTTGTTATAATATTTATAAAAGGAGGATATGTATTATATACATGTTATATTAAATTATGAAAAAGTTTATTTAATTTTTAAGAAAAACCTTAAAAGTTTAAATTATAGGAGAGATTGGGGTTATTATGAGCCCCAAAAGGCAAACTTCAATAAAAACAAAAGTACTTAATGGTTTTTAATAAAAAATTTGCCATTTTGGTCCTTCTTATTTGTTTAATAGGATGCAATTTTTAGAAGAAAAAAAATGTCTCCGAAAATATTTTAGAGGAAACAGAGGCAGGAAATAAATACTTTGGTCAATTAATGTGTAAATGGCTTGTTTTAACCTGAAAGAAGTGATGAAAACATTTAAATTTTATTTCAAATAATTTTATGGAGCGTTCCCGTAAAATAATATTAAAAATATTTTATTACAAAAATAATATTTATTATATATGTGTATTTATAAATTATAAGATTACCTTCAAAAATACGAATCGAATATTTACTGTTCGTACGATTCATATTTTTGAATCGAATAATTTTATTATTCGTATTTGAGCTTATAATAAAAACATTATTTTATTTGATTCGCCGAATATTAGATTTGATTCGAAAATTTAATTGTTTAGAAATATTTTCAAAAATGAAAAAATGGATTAATAAAATTTTAAAAAGTAAAGTTGTGGAAAAAAAAGTAAAAAATAAAAAGTTTATCAGGAAATTAAATCCTTATGAATTGAAAATAATTTAGTAATTTTTTGAATAATTTTAAATATTTACATATAATTTCGAATATTTACAAATGATTTCGATCGAAAGTTAAAAAAATATTCGATTGATAATATTATTTTAGTTATTCGTATTTCGAATTGAATAATTTATTCGTAAAATAAGAATCGAATAAAATCGATATCAAATTCAGAATAATCTGTTTTAGGTATACTAATAAGCATTCATTTTTTAATTTTTTTTAATTCCAGTTAATTTTACATAACAATATTATTCCCATTATTTAGTATTATGTGAATTGAATTAAGATTATATGATTAAGGGCGCGTGCGTCCAAAGTCCAAATTTTATTTTTAAAAAAAATAATTTTGACAAATTTTTGACTTTGGACGTACCTTAATTTTTATTTTAATGGGTAATATTATTACCAAGTTAGTATTTTTGGAACTCATATTTATATTAAAACAACCACCAAATAAAATGATATATTTTGAAACAAAATCCGGAAAGTTAGAAAACATGGAGCGAAACGGAAATATGTTACTTTTAGCTGGTCAGAAACGGAAAAGGAACGAAAAACCATATTTTTTGGGCACCTGATTAAACAGAATAGGTTTTTTTTGTCAACTTTATTTTTTCTTTCAAGATTTTAAATCATAAGGATAACGTAATATTATAAAAAATTTAACATGTTGTCTAATATCAAAAAAAGACTGTAACATATTTACTAAACCTTAAGTTAAATTATGTATACTCTAGAAGAAGAAAAAGTAGCGCTCTATCTCAGGCTCATTATAACCCCAGCCAGTCTTGTTTAGTCGATTGTATTCATTTATAAAATCATGTATATTGTATATAGTTGTTCAGGTCTATAATTCCATATCAGTGGCGTCACTGACTTTAAGGTTGCCTTTCTTAAATACTTTTTATATTTATATTTAAATAAATTTAAGTGTTAAACTAAAAAATATCGTGCAAATTTTTTTAATATAGGGTCGCTGAGTAACACTTTGCTCCCTCCCCCTTCTGAATCCAATTTCCCATATAGTTATTCCTCTTTTTTAAGATTATTTCATTTATCAATCCCGATATTTACATCTGTGAACAATAATAACTTTTTTATAATATTTCCTTATTTCCCTTTTCTACCTTAATTTTCTTCATTGTTTCCTCTCTATTATATCTACCACACCACACTATATCCTGAAATGTATGAGCACTCAATATAAAAATAACCTACTTTATAAAGAAAATTTAATTAATTTTTTAGATATTTTATATTATATTGTTATAAATAATAAAAAAATAATACAGAAATTTAAACAATTATATGTTATATACTTATTAAATATATAAAATATATAAAATATTTTGTATGACAATAATATGTTGCTTTATAAAACAAAAGACATGCATAGGATAAGGAAAAATCAGATATGTAATATATTATAAATAATTGATAAAAAAAATCACTATTAAATTAAATTAAAAATTATTTAAAATAAAATAAATATGAATATGAATAGGAAAGTTAGTTTAGTCGTTTTTTCAGGGGAAATAAAGTTTGACATTGACACCAATATATTATATAAGTTTTCTTTTTATTAATTCTTTTGAGTTTTCTATATATTATAATTAAATCATCTTTTATATTTATAATATTGAGCAATTGATTATTGTTCTGAATTTAATTTTCCATTAAAATACACAAATAATCTACAATTGTAATTTTTTTTTTTTTTTAAATTTCATTAGTAATATAATAAAATATACAAATTTTATTTATAAAACCGAATTGATTAATTTTATGCACATATAATTCTCCATTTCAAACTAAGATACTATAAAAAAAAATAGTTCAATATCAATAAATTTTCAATGTCAATATCATATCATAATAAATAATATCTGATTTTTTTATAAAGATTTAAAAATTGAAATCTGGTGAATGTGAAGATAAAAATTTACTATTAAATTATTAGTTTTCGTTTCATAATTCTATCTAATATAGATGATTTATAAACATTACATAATATGAAATATATAAAAATGTAGACCCAACTTTCTTGTAACCATGTGTCATTATATTAAATATAGTAATACATGATCGAGGGTAACTATGGAATTATACGATTATTTTAACAAATTTCTTTCCCATTACTCTTTTATTATTATATTATGACGATAGAGCAACCTTGATAGGAAACCCCGGGGTTGGAAATGATCGTTATTCGACAAATATAAGCAGGCGCGTACGCAGGAATTTGATCTGGGGGGGGGGGGATAATAAAAATTTTAAGAAATATTATTATTTAAAAATACTAAGCATAAATTTATTAGGACTAATAACTTTTCTAATACACAATTTTAAATTAATGTGAATTACAAAAAAATTATATATAAAAACTGGCATTGAAAAACTATAAAATAAATGTGAATTATAAAATATAAAGTGGATATAACCACGATATGAATCACTTAAATGACCCAAAATTTAAATTTAAATTTTTTGAGCCTTTAAAATTTATATATAAAGTATAAAAAATTTAAATGTTGGAAATATAAATTAATACACAAAAGGTTTCTTAGGAATATTTGTATTTTGTATGTTTTGAGCTAATTTTTAAATTATCTATCCTTGCTTGGCGTTAAATGCCTATGAATATTCAAAAGATCCAAATCAATCTACTTTCAGAAGTTGTATTTCATAGGTATGTTTTTCAGAGACTTGCAGGCTTGGCCCTAGGATTTTAATTTTTTTAAACATAACCGGGCCGGGCCCAAATTTTTTTTAAAAAAAACACCCGGGCTGGGCCTAAAAATTTTTTTTTAAAAAATATCGGGGCCGAGCTGTATATTTTAAAACCAAATATTTGAAATCGCCATTATAATCTATAAAAATCAAAAATAAATATAATTCATTTTAATAAAATTCGGCCGGGCCTGAAAATCTTTTTAAAAAAACACAGGTCGAAGGCCCTGCAAATGGTACCTCTGCAGGTCTCTGTCATTCTTCTTAAAAAAGAGAATGCTCTCTCATTAGTTTACTAATGGGAAGAGTTGCTAATATATATAACCATTTTAATACATTGGGAATATAATCTAAAATATGTTTGAAATAATGCAAAGCATCCATAGCATTTTTGGGACTGTATCAACCATAGTTAATCTTTTAATCATAGTTATTCAGCTAATAAGATATCATAAGATACTTTAACATCTTCATGATAAAAATCTAACAAATATTTTTTTTCTATCACCATCTGAAAAAGGTTGGAAAGGCTTTTGTGAAAGTAATATCTGCGGATTTGTAAGTGCTGCATGATGAATTAAAAAACCATTCATTTATTTGGGCTATAAATGTATCTAAGAGAGGGGACATTTGTTTTATAATACTCTTGTACTGATCCTATATTAATGTTTTGACAATGAGCTTGCTTGCTGCAAGTCGAGGGGGAGAAATATTAAACAAGTATAGCTCTGCTTTTAACTCAACAATACATATAAAATATGTTCTTCATCAACATTAGCTCTAATTTCCTTGAGTTCTAATAAAATACTCTCTGCTATTCTCATCTTCTTAATCAAGTCAATGTCATGTTTTTGAAAAATATTACATAAAATAGTTGTATAATTAAATAATACATTCTAATGAGAAAAAAAATTTGGAATAAGTATTGAATTCAATAATTTTTTGCTTCTGAGAAAATATTTCTTTCAAGCCATTGTGATATTTCAGTAATAGCAAATAATCGGCTCTTCTAACTCCATAAAAGCTGTTATGCTTGATGGCGGAGACTCGATCTAGTTGGACAAGCTTGCAATTTTTTTCTCCCTGTTGGACAAGGAGTTTTAGAGATAATTATTATTTGACTAGAAATTTAGATAAATAATACGCCACCAAAATTTGAAAATAATAGGTAAATTACGCCAAGGAAAACTTGAAATCGAAATTAATTGATAAAATAACTTAGTAGATAAATGTGATAAATAAATGTAATTAAATATATATATGAGATAGGAATAAATATTAACAATAATATTTTTTACCCCCCTGCCCCCCCCCGCTGCGTAAGCGCCTGAATATAAGGTTTTTATTTAATTAGGATCAATCCCATTTTTTTTCAAACACAATTCAAATATTTTTTTTAAAAAAATTATAGAATTTTAACTGAATAAGGGTATTTAATTTATTATGTTATGCAATTTTTCTTTTAAATTAACGATATTCTTTTTATAATATTTGACATCTATATTTTTTTTAAAAAAATAAAGAACTTAGTTAGATAGTAAGAATGAGAATAAATATTTTTGGCTTAAAATCATTCAAGAAGATCTTTAAAAATAGTAGATGCACTAAAGAATGAGATTTAATTTTTAATATTATTTTAATTAAAAATTTGCTTTTTTTATAAATAAGGAGTATAGTGTATTATGTGTATTGTACTCCAATCTTCATTGTGTATCAATCCTTCAAATTCAGGAGAAAAAAAAATGTAGTTTCTAATAATATATTATAAATACATTCCTTTTAAAATCAACCATTCCAATGATCCTCTTCCAAACCTCTGAATCTACCATGAAAATACAATGACTGAAGGGGGGGGGGTGTAAAGTCCCTTAGCACACCAAAATGATAAGTTAGAGCTAACGACGTCCCAGTTTTTAGTCAAATATAATATAAAACTTACTTATTTTGTATAAGTTTATATTTTTTTAAAAAAAATACCTGGCTATCTCCTTTTCGATTTCGTAAAATTGATAAAAATCTTCTTTCCGGATTAAATTTTCGATCTCTTGGTCCTCTAAGCATTTGACATCATCCGAATTGGAATATCCCAGCATACACGTTTTGATTTTCAGAATTGTGCAAAAATTTGAGGTATATTTCTGTCTAGAAATCAATAAAAAGAATTTTGAAAACAAAATTAGATTATAATGGTTATAATTAATAATAGTAATTATATCAATTAAAGTTTTATAACATATGAAGAAAAATTATAAAACCCAGTTATGATTTAACAATTTTGATAAGATCCTTTTAAATTTAGCCGGGATCGAGATTAAAGGGCAAGATAGAGAAATCATTGTAACGAAAAGGTGGCAACTTAAGAGAGCAGAGGCGTAGCCAGGATTTTGCTAAGGGAGGGGGAGCACTATAAGGTAGGTTTTCCCTCTATAAATTCTATTGGAGGTCTTTAGGCCAACTTATTGTAGGTTTTTGGGGGAGAGGGGTGAAGAGCGTGTAGGGAGTAAATATTTTATTCGCTTAAGATAATATTTACGAGAACAAGTAAATTTCCGAAGGGGGGGTGGGGGGATTTCCCTCCCTCTGGCTACGCCTATAAGTAAATTGCCAAAGTAACATGGGGGGAGGGGGTAAAATTTTAAGTAATGGCGGATGAACTTATGGGAGTATGCACAATTATGATTCCTAATACGTCGATCTTGAATCTATAACACATTTAGGCTACTCTGTTGGCGGAAACTGTGCCATTTAGAACTTCTTCCAAAAAACTGACAAAACTCTGGCTCAAGCTGAAGAAATATTACCTTTTTGCCAACTCATCAATCGTATATCATTAAAAAATATATATATAACATCCCTAAAATCTTATATCTTATACGCATTGCGCTCTACAACCATCTTCAAATTTTCAAAGGCACTTATGAAAATAAAATTTGCCGCTTATTGAATAAACACTCAATTTAAAATTTAACAGTTCCTGGTCTTTTATGCAACCCGGAGGAATCGGGTAATGATCTCCAACGGCCTTTGCAATAAGTGGATTTATTTCTTCACTTCTTGCACGCAGATCGTTAAGAATCAAACTAACGATCAAGCCAACGATCTCCTAGATGGAGCAAGGACCAATCAACCCTGCCTAATATCCCTCGCCCGACAAATGGATTAGGATGCTCATCTCGTTGAAGGTTCGATCGATAACCTTAAATAGAGCATTCATGAAGTTGGGTACGCTCTATTTTCCCACCTGAACAGCGGGAATGGCTACGAATTTGTAGAGGCAATTCCCTCCGAGAATTTAGGCCTTCTTTTATCCAACGAAGAAATTTGCTAAGGCTTAAGACATGCCACAACTTCGTGACAGCATATTTATGCAAAGAATACCGAATATACACCAACAACAAAGGTTTACATAGTCTCCATTACTAATACTGTAAAGGCCGTTTCCCTCGGCATTCTCAGTGCAACGATCCATAAAATGGGCTTTAACTTCAGCAAGTATTCAATCTAAACTAAGCCTAAAGAGCTCTTCAAAACCAACGATAAAAGCCCAGACGGTATAACCTTAATCCCATTGACCATGGGTCAATTCTATCTAAGTTTCGGGCTTTTCGTATACCAACCTTATTTCTCCATCTAACATAAGCAAAGATGGACTCTACTGATATCTCAGCGATTACTGCTCGCCATAAACAATATTCGATTAAATTATTTAAGTTTCTTCTCTTCATGTAATTATCCTCCTTTTTTTCTCCAATTATGGTTTTTTTAATCTGTCTATTTATATTATTTTAATGACTTTCTAAATATATTTTCATGGTATTGTATGTCATTACGTTAATTTTGACCTAAGTTTTAACCCGAAAGAAATTATATTAATTTTTGATTGTCCTTATATGGGTTATATTTTTTAAGAACTAAATTTAAAGTAATTGAATTACATTTTAAATATTATTGTTAATTTGTAAGCAAATTGTTAATTTTTATTTGAAAAACTACGTTTATAGGTGTTCCAACATGTGACTAATTTCCTAATGTGACTTATTAGATGTGTTTGATAATCTGCATTTAAAAATTTAATTCACATAAAATACATTTAAAAATTAATATAATTGCTTTCGGTTTAAAACATAGGACAAAATTAACGTAATGATATACAAATACAATATTATACCTATGACCTAAAAAAACATAAGCCTCTTATATAACAATATTTTTATGGGATTTTTCTCTATATATAAAATTATTTTTATTATAATTGTATCTTCATGCATAATTAATAAAATGTTTTAATTAACATTTAAATTTAGGAATTATTATATAGACCCCCTCCCCTTAATCCTAACAGGTATTTTAATATAATAATGATATTTCAAAGGTATAACAAACATGTTAAATGGTGAGAATAGAAATAAAATATAAAAAAAATTTAAAATTTGATAATACTTGTTATCAAACAAAATAAAACATTGGCAAATGATACACGTAAAATGGTATTTTATTAGAAAAAATGTCACTAAAAAAAATTGAAAAAATCACGAAATTTTTTTAATTAATAAAAGAGTATTTTAAATATTTTTCCCATAATCCTATTAACGATACATTAGAAAGTTTTTACATGTAATCTTTTGTCATTGTATTTGTTCCACCTTCGTTTCTTATTTCTTCCTTTCCTGGACCTTTCTATTTCATTATAAAATTTATTTCTATGTGTTTTCTTTCGAGGCAAAGGTCATAAACTTGAGTTTTTTTATTATATACATAATTGATTTGAGATGCGTTATTTATATTTTGTTACAAAAAAATAATGATAGAGTAAAAAAAAATTATTAAAAACATTTTTTAAAGAAATTACAAGTTATTTGGTATATTTATGTCTTCGAACAGATAAATTAATTTTTTTTTAAAAGTTTTATTGTGGGAAGGAATTTTTAAATTTTAAATGATGCTATGTGATATGGTGGTACCAATTAGATATAATAAGAAATATATTTATTTAAAAACTTTATTTTGGATATAATTTAAGTTATATTTTCTGCCGATAAAATATCTGACAAAAGTCGTCGGTAAACTTGAAAGAAATAATGTTTCGGGTGAACTTTTAACATTTTAGGTGAATCAATAAGTCATTAAGGGCATTATGAAGATGACATTTTGTAGGGCAAACGTTTTAGTATTGTCTGCGGAGGATACTTTTGAGGCTAAAGCCCCATCCAAATTTTAGGGAACCATCTAAAATTTCGAAAATACAAATCTTAAAGCAATAAAATATTGATTTTTTATTTTGAGCACTCAGAGCTCCGGCATATTGAAGTTTAATGCAGTCCCTGATATGTTTCCGCGGCCAGAGTTTAAACTCAGTTCAACTTGCAATTTTCAAATTAAATTTTAAGAAAGAGATAATTTGATAATTAAACTGAATACGTATACCCGTTTGGTTCATGGGCATATAATACCTCAGCAGTTAAGAGGGGGCTGCATTTATTAGGAAATTCGTGTAAGTCTTATTTACTATCGAAAAACATTTTTTTTAATAACTGGTTATTTATTGTGTGAACTTGACGGGGACAGAAAATTTCTTTCACTATTATAGTGAGTTCTCATTTATAATCCGAAATAATATAATAATCATATGAAATAAAATTTTGACAAGGTTTAAAATTAATGGAGGTAACGTATAATTTTGTTACTAACAAGACCTATCATATTTTAAAAGATATTTTATAAATTTGAAAAGAAAAATATATATAATCAAAAATTCGCTATAACGAAACATTGTGAAATTGGAAGTGTTAAATTATTTTTTTATAAGCTGTTGTACCTGATATTTTTATAATGATGGGAATCGGACTTTCAGCCGAACGTTTTGCTCACAATTATATAATTGTATAAAAATGGATTTTCAAACTTAATTACCCATTAATGATTTGATAACCTGTATAATAACCATTATTATCAAATAATTTCTTTTTATGAAAATACTACTATTTGTTGATTTTTTATTATAAAATTTTATTGTAAATTTAAAATGATGTACAATAAAATTTTAAACATTTAAAAGAAAAAAAGTATAACTATATTTACAAAATGACTAAAAAAGGTGACTAAATAAATCAATTTAAAAAAATAGGGTCACTAGGAAGGAGTAGATCAGGAAATTAAAGCGGTATATTCCTAAGAGATCCTTTGGTGGAGACAAACCCTCTTGTTAAGATCTCCAGTATCTGATGTTTATCTTTTCCCAGGGTGTCTTATTATAAGATTTCTAAGGTTACGGGCATGAAAATGACTATTGAGGTTGGAGTATTATTTTCTTAAATGGTTTTCAACCTTGTTATATATATATAACTTTGGCAACAAATCAATTAAATATGGTCCTAGACTAGGTTTAGACCAGGGCATCAATGGTGTATTAACGCTGGTATTTTAAAACTATAACTTAAAAATAATTCTTTTTAATATTAAATATTGTCTCCATTATCATATTTATAAGATATTATATTTAAATTTAAAAAATTAATGTCACGTGGATATTTATTCATAGATTGAATATTTATTCTTAGGTTTTTTTAAAAATATTGATTTTTAGTGAACCCACAATATTGGCGAGATTCTATTATTTTTTAATTAAAAAAATATTTTCATTATTGATTTAAATTTATAAAATGTTAATAATGTCAAATAATATATTTGGGCCACCCCTCTTTAGTAAATAATTACCCGCATAGCCCTGCATTGCGCTAACTGTGAAAGCAGGATAACTTTTAGGACTGAATCATTCAACATTCATCATACGTAGGTAGATCGTAGCCAGAATTTAGGGAAAACTTTTTGATAGCTTTTCTTCCCATAAATTGTATTGGAGGATTTTGGACCCGTTTTTTTTGCAGGTCTTTGGCCTGGTTAGCTTTTTTGAGGACATAGGTTAAAGACTATTTTTCCAATTATAGTCTTTATTTTTAGAAGTTATTAATTTATGCTATGCTTTTTAAAACAAATTATTGTTTATAATGAGATATTCTATTTTTATTTTGAAAAGGAAAGGGAGCGGAAGGAATATAGTAAAGGGGGGGGGGGAGATTTTTATTTGCTTAAAATAATATTTATTAAAGCTTATAAATTTACGGGATTGGGAGGGGGGGGGATTT